GCGGCCCAGCCTTGGTGGCCCAGTTTAGTGAACTGCAGTGCTGGAAGCCACTGGGTTTGAACCATGGGCTGGTTGATCTGAAACATGCTGGGTACATGTGCCTATGCTCAAGATCCTGATGAGCTGGAGGGCTGGGGAAAGTGGATCACAGCGTAGTGAGACCTTGTTGACGGTGTCTCGCTCACTCTCTGGCTTGTGTGTGTTATAATGAAAAATGAAACTTAGGGGCCAGCAGGTGGCATGGTGGTTAAGACTTTGGACTTCCACATGGTTGAGTGCAGTTCCAGTCCCAGACCTGGTGGCCTGCTTTCTGACTTTCTGTCTCTCTCCAGTGAGCATACATGTCCTACAGCAAGAATTAAAATAATAATAATAAAATAAATAATTCTTTAAAAAAGAAAAAAATTAAATAAAAAGAAAACTTTGATCTAGCCTGGTGGTGCAGTCAAATTATAGTGCTGGAAGGTATATGGCTAGACGCTTTGGGTTCATATTCCCCCACCAGCCTGAAAGCCCAGTGGGTGTGTGTGCCCAGCAGCCTGGTGAGCTGGAGAACTGGGAAAGGGGGTCACAGCATGACAAGCACCTGTCAGTGATGCTTCTCTATCTCTTTCTCTCTGCCTCACTCACTCTCTCATGGACATGTGCATGCACTGTTTATCATGTATAAGAACAAAGTTGAAGCCAGCTTTTTTTTTTTTTTTTGAGAGGTGTTTGCTATAGGGCACCTGCACTTACCAGAAAAACAGAGAGAGACAGAGAGATAGAAAGCAAGAAATCACCCCTCGAGGGGATGGCCATGCCGCAATCCCTTCTCTTCCATTCTCCTCTTGGGATCTTGGACACACACACACACAGCTTGGCATGAGTTTAACCCACTGGGTCTGGGACTCGAACCATGGTTGACTACCTGGGAGTCCAACGACATAGCCATTATGCCAGCTGCTGGTCCCAAAAACTTTGTTTGTTTATTTATTTATTTTAATTATTCCAGAGAGGGACAGTGCAAGAAAGAAGAGAGAAAGTGAGAAAGCAAGCTGCCAGATCTAGGCTTTGAACCGTGGTCGGCCATGTGGGAGTCCAGTGCCCTTAACCACCACACTACCTGCCAGTCCGTTTTTGACGTATTTTTTCAATATCCAGAGGGCACATACACTCCCCAGAGAAAGATGGAGTGGGAGGAAGTGAGGGATCACCCCCAATGGAGCACGGCCACACTTCAGTCCCTTCCCCTCCATTTCTCTATCTTGTTAGGATTATCATAATGCATTTTTTTTGTTTGTTTGGTTTGGTTTTTGCTATAGGGCACGTGCACTCGCCAGAAAGACAGAGAGAGACAAGAGAGAGAAAGCAAGAAATCACCCCTCGGGGGGAATGGCCACACCATAATCCCTTCTCCTCCATTTTCCTCTTGGGATTTTGGGCATGTATGCATGCGTGCTCAGTGTGAGTTTTAAGCTGTTGGGTCTGCGACTTGAACTGCAATCAACTACATGGGAGACCGGTGACATAACCATTACGCCATCTGCTGGCCCTCCCCGTCCCCAGCCTATTTTTAAGGTTCATAACACATACTAGTACTTTGCTCTTTTTATGGCTAAATAATACTCCATTGTATGGAGAAAACCACATTTTATTTTTCTTCAGCCGATGGGCATTTGGTTGTCCGCACTTTGGGGCTATTGTGAATAATGCTGCTGTGAACATTTGTGCACACATTTTCGTGTGAGCATATACTTCCCTTCCTTCTCGTTGAATATATACCTAGGAGTAGAACTGCTGGGGGTATTTCTGAGGAAGGACAGACATTCTTACCTGTGTTATTCACAAGACAGTGCTTAGAGAACATCGTTCCTGTCTGCTCGGTCACTGCTTGGGTGTCACTGGTGCTGCGTGGTACTGACCCGCAGAGGGTGCTCAGTAAATGCCATTGAAAAAGTTGGCTTAGGTTTACTCGCCAATGGAGAAAGATCAACCCCACCTAAACCTGGACACTGCCTCCCGAGGGAGCGTGAACTTGGCCAGCCGCTTCACCTCTCTGAGGCCCCGTTGTCTCATTTATACACACAGGCATGACAGTTACTGCCTTGCAGGCCAGACATAAACAGTTTGAGGGGTGGCACCTAGAAAGGCCCTAGCCTGGGACCTTGAAGGAAGCCCCGAGTGGCTTCCTACTGTGAGTTTGTGTCGGGTGCTGCCAGCACTACTCCAGGCTCTGTCCCTGACGAGTTGTGTGACTTTGAGTGAGCCGCTCTCCTCCTGTCTCATCTTTCTCCCTCCAGGATAGAGATGAGGCCCACCTCATTAGGGGCTACGCAGAGGGTTGTGCTGAAGGGTGCCTTTGGCGCATGAAGTGGCAGTGCTGGTTAAACCTTTGTCATATCAATGTAAGGAATAAGGATTCGTTCCCCTTGGGAGGTCCGACACATTTTATGTAACACTGTTAGTTATCATTTCTGAATTTCTTGCGGGGGGGAGCAGAAAGTGCATACGCTTGCCAGAGAGAGACAGAAGAGGGGGGAGCAACCCTCATGGCAGTGGTCATGCTTCACATCCTTCTCTTCCATTTTTCCCTTCCGACAGGATTTTGGGTATGCATACATACGCATGCGGCATGTTTCTCAAGCCACCGGGTCCAGATCTCGAACGGCATCGTTGGCTCTGTGGGATTCAGCCATCTTAGCCACCATACCACCAGCTGGCCCCTGAATTTACATCCTTTTCTTTTTTGCCAGTACGTCATGGCCACAGACAGCTTTCAGCTGGGCTACATGGAAGATGGACACTGTAAAGGGGACACCAACCCAAACATCCCGTACCCCACGAGGTTGCAGTGGGACATCCCAGAGGAAGTAAGTCCAGATACTGAATAACCGTTGTTTACTTGTGGTAGGAAGTAGATTTCCACACGGGCGCCTGAATCTTCCAGCCGTAGTTCCCACATGCTCACAGGTTTCCGTCGGAGGCCACCGAGACTGGACGTTGTGTGCTTGGAGAATGTTCCTGGGGCTGTGGTGCTGCCGTGGCTCCTGTTGCCTCAGAAGCCTTAGTCAGTATTTCTTCTTCCATCGCAAACTTTTAGCTAAATTTGTCAGTACTATTTCCAGTTCAAACTTAGCTAGACATCTATAAAATGTTCACAGTGAAAAAGTAAAAAAGAAAACCACCTAGTTTAGAGCTTGAATACTCAAAACTGCTCATTTAACTTTTTTTTAAGAGAGATTTTTGCTATAGAATGCGTACGCTCATTGGAGAGACAGACAGAAAGCAAGGAATAAACCCCC